GGGGGGGATTTGGTCCTTCACAGGGTCTGTTTTGCTCCCAAATGCCTCTCAAGCATCGGTGCGCTAAGGCGAGCTTGGGCGCGCTCGCAGTGGGACCGTCCACCGCTGCCACCCCCCGAGCAGCCTGGGGGTCACTGGGGGTCTCTCCTGGGAACTCAGGCAGCCCCTTCCCCTCTGGCCGGCCGCGCTGCTTCTGTCTTTGCCGCATGGAGAGACGCAGAAGGGTCCAAGCGGGGGATGGAGCTGCTTCTGCCCAGCGCGGAGGGACGGCAGGTAAACGCAGCCGCTTCATGTTGGCGCTGGGTTGCTTCAGCCTCGACCCATTTCTCTGCCACCTCTCACTCTGCAGATCTTCAGGTCATTATTTTAAGCTGTAATTACACATTGCCATCCTCTTTTTTTTTTTTTTTTTTTCCCCTTCAGTGGCGGGGAAAATGGCGGATAAAGTTCACGATTGCCCCGAGGTCACCGCTTGTTTGTGTGCTCGTGCTGTTAATCCAGGTTTAGGAAATGATCTAGCTTAAGAGGACAGGAAAAACAAGGGTTTATTTCAGTCCTTGGGGCTGGATCACGGCACCCTGTGCTAACTCTGCCCGCTGCCCAAGGCTCTCCCCTTGCTGCTGCCTCTCCGCGGGGTCCCCATGTGGCTCTGGCCCCTGTCCCCAAGCCCTTTTTGCTCCCTGGGTTACACTTGGTCGTGCTTAAACCTGAGTTTTGGGAGGGCGAAGGAGGCTCCTGGGGGAAGGAGGGTTTGCTCCTAATGAAAAACATTAAAATTTTTAACAGAAATTAGTAGAAAAAGTGATTAACCCCCAAATTGAGGTAAAAAAATCTCTAAAACTCTTCAAAACCACAAAGAAGGGGGGAAGACGAGCACAGGGTTTGCTCACACAGGGACACCACAGGGCACAGCTTGGGGTGCCCATCATCCCAGAAAATACCCCTGGGCTCTGCTCCCGGACTCCAGTTATCCCTGCGGAGCAGCCCCCGGTCCCCCTCATCCCAACGCTTTTCCCTCGCTCCGCTCCCCGGGACCCAGCAGTGGGGACGGAGCTGTCACCCCCCAGCTCCAGCTGTGTCCCCAGCATGTGTCACCATGGCCCCTCCGCATTCTGGGACCCAAATTCCACCTGTAAATGTCCCCCCCCCCACCATGGTGTGACCTGTTTGTACATCACCTTTAGTTTAGATCCTTGTGGACGTAGAGAGGACAAAGTATATTTCTATAAACTCGGCGGTTTAGGTGCACGTGTGCGTTTCCATCGCTGTGTTTCGGAGCAATGTGTGTGTAACCGAGGGCACGGGGAGGACGGGGGTGTTAAAAAGAACCAAGAAGCCCTCGCTCTTTTCAAACACACCGTCTGAACGCCCTTTTCCAATAAATGTTGATGTTGCCGCCGTCGGGGCTCTGCTGTCTTGGCATCTCTCTACCCTGGGAAAGCCAAAAGGAGCGGGATGGAGAAGGGAAGGTATGGAGGGAGGAGGAGGAGGATGGCCACGATCCAGTGCCCCAGCTCTGTGCCCAGGATCCAGCCCAAACCGGGCTCCATCTCCATCTTTTATAATTCTGCATTTTCTCCATTTTTTCCCCCAGTGGGAAAGATTCCTGGTGTGCTTAGATGTGCACAAACCCACCCACCGAGGCTAAAATGGGAAATAAAACACCCGGAGAGCAATTTGAGGGGTCAGAATGTGCCCGGTGCCACCGTGCCGTGCAGCTCCTGGCTGTGCTGAGGACTCCTCGAGGACCTCTCTTAGCTGCCGCGGGGGTAAAAGCACAAACCTGAGCCCTCTCCTGCTTTAACAGCATTTCCACCACATTATACCGAACAAATCAGGATGTGCACCCCTGTGCATTGCAACCCCTGTCCCAAAAGGCTCCTCCTGGGGGGGTTCATCCCCCTGGGGCATCGGCAGCTCCTCTCTGCGCGTTTTCCAGCCCGGGGGGGAGCGGGAGGTGGTGGGAAGCACAAAGCCAGGACCTGAGATCAGCATCCCGGTGTCAGTGCTGGTTTTCTGCTGCCTGGGAAGGGTGTAAAAGGGGGAAGGGGCACGGTTATGCTTTGGCGGCAATCAGGGGGTAGCTGGGCAGAGATGGGCAAGGTTTCAAAGGTTTAAAGCTGGTTTCAAAGGTTTAAAACTGGGTTTCAAGGTTTAAAACTGGGTGGGCATCCTCCCCGCTCCCCATGCCTGTCCGGCGCGTGGATCAGAGCCATTGGCGTCTTTATCCCATGAAACCCAGGAGCAGACTCCTTCGGAGCACTAATTAAATTAAAAACTAATTAAAACTGGTTTTAAACCTGTTCTTAAACACCAATGCAAGGCACCCAAAGGCCAGCCTGCCTCCCTGCTTCACTGCCTGATACTTTATAATTAACGAAGCTTTTCCTAGAGCCCAGGCTCTGGAGCCTGGAGCTTAAGACTTGCTGGAGCCCCAGTTCCCAAGCCG